CCAGCCTCCACGGGCTACTGTTCATCCAGACTTCATGGGGTCCTTTCATCCAAACCGGCTGGGGTGTGTGGCGGCCTCCACGGGGTCCTCTTCATCCAGCGGCAACTGCTTACACGGCGGGGCCCCTGTTCATCCAAACCCCATCGGGAACTATTCATCCACAGCCAACCAATCGACTGGACTCACCACATGTCTCGACTCGTTCTACGTATCGTGCGCGCGGCAGTAATGGGCACTGTTCATCTAGAGGCAACCCAACACACCGGCTGGCTATGTCTCGCATGGCGGCTCGATCGGCTTTAGTTAGCAGCAAGAAGGATCGATCGGGTTCAGTTAGCAGTGAAGGAATCGGTCGGGTTCAGTTAGCAGTGAGAGGAATCGCTCGAGTTCAGTTAGGAGCGAAGGGATCCATCGATCGGCTTAAGTACTTAGTGGGATTGATCACTCGTGTTCAGTACAAAGCTAGTGCAATCGCTCGGGTTCAGTAAGCGAATGCCTCGCAAGGGTTCAGTTAGCGAGCGCCTCAAACACACGCGCGTACGAGATAAACGTGCAAACCACACTACATCGCTCGGCCCCGAACACCCACCGTAACCGAGAACTCCCTGAAATTTTCCTCGCCCTCACTTCAACCATGATTTTTTACGTCATGGACGACCCAAAGAATGTCATGCAGGTGCGTCGCCAGCCCGTCCAGGACGAAAAGACCATTTTCTGTCATGATTTTTGTCATAGAAGTAGGAGCCCACCACATCATAGAAGTGTCGTGTCCATGACAGAAAAAGTTTTCGTTCGGGCAATAATATCACATATGTCTTTTTTTGTGGTGCAAGGACGCGAGATCAACGGTCAAGAGCTTGCCCACCGGCTCCGAGATCGCCTTGCAGATGTGTTCAAGCCTGCCCCCCTAGGAGTGAGCTTGCTCCCCCTAGGAAGCCCGTAGACAGACACCCACACCTGGGTGAGCGTGGGGATCGGGTCTGGCTCCGCGATGGCCTCCTTGACAGAGATGAGGAACTTGTTGATCGTGCACTTGATGTTGTCGTGGGTGCAGACGTGAAGCAGCTCAGCAGAGGGGAATGGCACCGAGAAGACCAAAGCCGTCGTCTCAGCTAGAGAAGTTTTTGATGCTTCGAAGAAGAAAAGTGAGGTGGTGGAGGATGAAGAAGATGGCCCCGATGAGGAGAGAAGGATCCCTACCCCTCACTCGGAGACTACATAGTATAGGCCCGATGGAACTAAGAAAGTGAAGGGATCCAAGGCCGGAGAGAATGATCTCAAGGAAGGATTTGATGCCATCTTCACGGTGAGGAAAGAGTATGCCGAAGAAAAAAGATTGTTAAAGCTGAAAGAAATGGATGAGGAGTGAAGCCGAGCGGCAGAGGGCGGCGGCCAAGGAGAAGAGGACGGTGGCCGAGGAGAAGAGGACGGCGGCAGAGGAGAGGTTGGCGGCAGCCAAGGAGAGAAAGGTTGAACTTGAGGAGAGAAAGGCGGTGGCCAAGGAGATGAAGATGGTTGAGGAGAAGTCACTCAAGTTTATGTTCATGGACACATCTACTCTTGATCCCAAGGCAAAGGTGTATGTCAAACTTTGTCGCGATGAAATGCTCATGAAGAAGCAAATGCTCATGAGAAGCATGATAGGAGGAGGAATGGGAGGTCCCATGGGCGGAGGAATGGGAGGTGGAATGGGCGGTACATGAACATGATGGGAGTAGCCATGAATGGTGCATGGAAACATGGGAGGTGGCTTTGGTGGCAACATGGATGGTGGCTTAGGCGGCAACATGAGCGGCATGGGAGGTGGCTTCGACGGCAATATGAGCGGCATGGGAGGTGGGTTTTGCGGCAACATGATGAGTGGCATGGGAGGTGGCTTCGGCGGCAACATGATGAGTGGCATGGGAGGTGGCAAAGAAGGTGCTTCTAGTGGAGTTCGCAACAACGAGACTTCAACGCATGAAAACGTCGACAAAGAAACCATTGATAATAATGATCATACCACCGTCCACAATGGCACTAGTGACAACGGAGAGTACAAAAATTGAGTGATGTTTTATGTGCAGTTTAATTTGTCTGACCAAGAACTTTGTGAGACAATTAACTTTTGCTTATAGGATTTGAAATTTTGGTTGATGGTGCACTTTTGTCGGTAGAAGTATGAAATTCCAATGTGCGAATGCGAATGTACAACGGCTGTACACAGCCGCGTGGCCGGCGGCCGGTTTCACATCTCTAGTTTGCATCTTTTAGGGGAGTTGCTCTTTTACATCTTCAATATGCATCATTTGTTGGAGTTGCCTTTTTTGCACAGATGCAATAAGCACTTTTTAAAGGTGTAAATTTTTACATCCTCAGATTTGCATCTTCTATTGAAGATGCTCTAAAGCACATGTGTTTCTGAAAGTGATTGTTTGGAGGTATGCAACCACTGAAATTTGCGCAAGAGCTATTAAATTTTACAAGTGTTAAAGCTCTTTGTAGAGACTGCATGAGTGGCATCAAAATTTATCTGGTTCAGTCCATTGTGTTCCGGACTTCTGATTTTGCTGTCAACTCATAGCATCAACCAGTCTTCGACAGGAACACTTGCGTTTTCAACTCTTGCCACAATTGCATTTTGCATTTTGAATGAATCAAGGTGACAGCAGCTTCTGCATGCCTTTTGAATGAATCAAATATAATTTAGTATTTTCTAGGGGTTCACATTGATAAAAAATTACACACATCCTCAACTGCACCTTCACTCAGTTCCCAGTTTTAACCAAAACTAACAAAAGAACCCCGTTTTATAAAAAACTAGCATACGAAAACAAAAGCCAGCCTATGTAGATGACTAATTTCTAGGTCTCCTCCTGGTCATCTCCTGTGGCTGCCTCTGATGCAGCTATGGCCATCAAATCATCAAACTTGTCAGTCTTCCACAGCCCTATCTCAATCTGTGCAAAATGTTGAGCGTGACTATTTTCCAGATAAGAACATCCGGGTAAAATGAACAACATTTGAATGATATCCTTCTAAAGAGAACACTTTGACAATATCACAATTAGGATTAGTCTGAACTAACCTTAGCCTTTTGGATTGGCTGCCCTCTCATCTCATCCTTGATTTCCAAGGTAGATGTCCTAATCTCTGCACATACTATTCTTGGTTAGATAAAGTTTGTACCATAAAAAGCAGGCTCTCAATATAATGCTTTCAGGCATATATAAGTATAGTGTTTGTTTTCTGCAGGGACAGGCATAATTTTGTAATGTGGGGCAATGAAAAAGGTTCTTGTCTTGACAGCGAAGCCATTGTTTTTCAAAATCTCTGCCACGGTCACAACCGTCGCTATGGCTGTAAGCATATTAAGTAGATATGTTCCCCAATGATCTAAAACCACAGTACTGCCCAACTGCTGAAAATTTTGATGGCAAAATCAGGTATAGGACTTGACATTGTGTGGAATAGTATACAGGAGGATCCCAAATGCACATAAATTTTCCCCCCTTTGCCTTCAGGCTGTTACAATGTGTGAATAGTAAACAGGATGATCCCAAATGCACACAGATTTTTTTCCCCTTTGCCTTCTGGCTAAAAAGAACAGCCAAAAAATGGTTCATGGTTCAACATGTCTCATGCAAAATATATACTACTCCCTCCGTCCCATAATGTAAGGCGTTTTTTGACACCAAATATAAGTCCTTTTTAGAGACATTTAAATCAAATATAGTCCCTCTGTAAACTAATATAAGAGCATTTAAATCACTACTTTAGTGATCTAAACGATCTTATATTAATTTACAGAGGGAGTACATATGAAGCAAAATGAGTGAACATATATATACTCTAAAAGGTGTCTATATACATCCAAATGTAGTCTTTATAGTGGAATTCTAAAAAGGACTTATATTTAGGAACGGGGGGAATGTGAAGACGGTACCTTCTCTTTCCTCTTTAAGCCTTAAACTAGTGGTTTTGAAATTTAAAGAGTCAACACAAATCATGCGGCAATTGCAGACATGTTTGACATTATGCCAGGAGGAGTAAGTAACGTACCGTAACGTACCCATGCCGAGACCGGAGAGCTCCACTTCCCTGTACTGCATGTACCTCTGCGTCAACAAATACCTTGGCCGGGTTGACGTAGAAGAAGGACACCTGAATACGGTTGCTGCTCCCGCCGCCGACGACGCCGGCCCTCGTCCTCTGTGGCTCCAACGCGTCGCCAGACATTGGTGATGCTGCTGGTAACAAAATCGAACAGTCTGACGGTTGCTCGTGTCACGGGCTGGCGTATTCGAGGTTCATGGCTTCAGATTGGACCCGCTAAGCAGGGACTCCACCCTGCCCGTCATAAGTACAGATAGACAGCCCGTCATAATGACTAGTCCCTCCGTTCCTAAACACAAGTCTTTCTAGAGATTTCAACAAATGACTACATACAAAGCAAAATGAGTGAATCTACACTCTAAAATATGTCTATATACATCATATGTTGTATTTAAAATATCTATATACATCGTATGTTGCATTTAAAATGTCTAAAAGACTTATATTTAGATTTAAGGACGAAGGGAGTAGTACAGATAGACAGCCCGTCATAATGACTCAATATAGAGGAGAAATACATCTAGTAATATCGTGGATCTCTGCTGTTTTGTTTGGACGGCAGAGATATAGGGAGCATCTGAGCCTGAGCTCAAAAACGAATAGCCGTTATGACATCCAATATATTATGAGACGGATGGAGTATTAATTAAAAAAGAGAAAGAATCAATCATGGAATTATTGAAAAGCAGGGGAGAAATAATCCCAACAAAATTATAAAACACATGTTCCACAAGCTTGCAATATTTCTACAAATTCAGTAATCTAGATCAAATTATAACTGCACGTCTTACAAGGAAGCGTACATTAATATTCATTGGTGTGTGTCGTACCAGATGACACATTCCATACATAAATAACTATAAGATAGAACTTCAGTACACATTGCATCCATCTGGGCACTGCAACTACTGGTATGAAATCCGCACTTTAACTTTACCGTGTTGGCATTCTGCACTGTCAGCACTGCAGATTATCTTTTCATACTCGTCACGGTAAAAAATAATATAATCTCGAAAGGCAATGGTATGATCCTCATCATCATGATCACATTTAATTGGAACATGCAGGTTCAGTTTGAGTATCAAGAGAGGCTCCAAGTATATTGGAACAGCTGCACAATTCCGTGAGAGTGGTAGTTCACCACCATCAGTAACCACTGCTTTGTTTTCTTCCCCACGAGAAAAGAGCATGACACTCTCACCATCGTAGAGTTGGTGGTGTGCGGTGATTTCACCATAGACATAGTAGATGGTGCCAGGCTTAGTGGCATTACGACATACGAAATCAAAGTTGACGTACACATTGGCCTGTATAGCTGTGTGCAACGCCATGAAAGTCAAATCTATTTTGCGGCGCTGTTTAGTTGAGATGGTGTGGGTTATGACATTGTTGCAAACATATGGGTCCACTGTGAATGAGAAATATCCAGAATCATGATCAGCGCCGCTGTTGTCCTCTAGGATTTTGATTTTAATCCAGAAGGTGTCCGTAAGGGCACCGCCTTCTGAGTGGAGCACCAAATTATGCTGCACATACAGTTCACTCGATAATAAAGATTCAAAAACAATACAGGAAAAAAAGTACAAAATAGTGCATACCTGTGAATCAACAATGTGATAAATCTGTAATTTTTGTGAGGACCAGTAGTAGGCAGAAAAACCATCAGTGACAACAAATGTCCCCGTGAAGCTGAAGCGGGGACGCACAGTGAACAGCTCGACCCGGTACTGAGAAAATGAGTGGGCTACTTGTATGTTTTTACTGTCTCCATTATAAGAAATTCTATGACTCAGTGGTGGCAACTCCCTATCGATGCCATCATCGCTGCCGCTGTAGTACCCATCAGCCATGTCTTGGGGCCCATAGTCAAAGCCACTATCACGAATGTCATGGCACGCCTTCTTATCATCATCACCATCTACGCTGCTGCCAGCGTTGCCATCGCCGATGCCATGGTACACATCAGACTGTTTCTGGTTGTAGTCATAAGGAGATTCTTTTTCTGCCGTTCTTGTTTCCATTACCTTGATTGTTTCTCCTACTTCTCCAGTTCCTCTTGCACTTTCCCTTGCTGGTACCCAATTAACCCAATTAAGAAGTCCTCCAACAATATTCCGCGTCCAGTAATGAAAAATTCTAGCGGGCTCAGAGATGCAAGCCTGTTACAGGAGAGGATCTAAAGCTAAATACAATGAAAAAGGAAACATACTGATATAGCCGGACCAAACAATAATGCTTCCATCGATCTACATCAATCTCGTGAAAATTATTTGACCTTTGCTAGCAGAATCAAATTAAGGACAGGATATAGATGTTGTAATACCTGCAGATCGCAAAAGATGGCTCTCACATATGATCTTTCAGGCGGCTTTCCGGCGTCGACGCTCGGCGTCATCCTGCTCACGCCTTCGGCGGCGGCTAGAGGGTAATGCAACCCTAGGTCGACAAAGATTGCCGTCCTGATCGACTATTTATACATGAGATGCAAATAATCTGGCTCGTCCTGGGCCCATCTATTTCCGTTTCCTTTCTAGAGTCAGCCCAGGCCCATTGAACGTGATCTGGTGGTGATGTCCGAAGACCCCCGGACTCTCTGCGGATTTTCCGACTCTCTCGGTGGATCCTATATGACGCGCGTGACCGGCCAGGAGCTGCACCTTCGCTGAAGCGATCCCCCACTTGGGCCGGCCCACGTACGATTTCCTGTGCCGTTTGTTTTCCTTCGCTGTCATTTCCTTCGCTGCTTCTGCAGGTTTTTTTTTTCTTCTGCGGTTTTTTGCTTCCAGTTTTTCACTGTTTTGTCCGGTTTTCTGTTGTTTTGTTCGGGTTTTTTTATTTTTCTGTTTTGGTTACTTTTTTGTTTCATTTTCTTTTACATTATTTTTTTATTTTTCTGTTCTGTTTCTTTTTCTGTTTTCTTCTTTTTATTTGTGTGTTATATAAAATGTACACCGTGTATTACAAGAAATTTCATTGTATCAAGAAAAATGTTCATTCTATATTATGAAAATTGTTCACCTTTGCATATGAAAATGTTCATCGTGTATTAAAAAAATGTGCATCATATATTATGAAATTGTTCAACGTTTTTTTACTAAATGTTCAATGCGTATTCAAAAATTGTAAAACACATATATTCATATTGTTCCAAAAATGTTCATCATGTATTATTTTGAATGTTCAATGGATATAAAAAATGTTCAGTATATATATTTTGGAATTTTTTTATTTTGGTTTTGGTTTTTCAACAAATATACAAATGTTTACTATGTTTCTTAATTTTGTTCAGTGTATATTACACAATGTTCAATGTGTATTCGCAAATTGTTCAACGTATTTTTACAATACGTGTCTGAAAATTGTTCAGCTCATATATTCATATTTTTTCAAAAATGTTCATCGTATATTAAAATAAGTTCATCATCTATTATTTAAAATATTCAGCTTAATTTAAGAAAATGTTCAACGGATATTACAAAATATTTTATGTGTACTTAAAAAAAAGATTCAACAGTGTATGGTACTTAAAAGTTCGTGGCTCATATTATCAGAGTTCGTCACCGGTTCTGACGGTTAGCAACGCTAGCTTTAAAAATGGAGGTCGTGAGTTCGAACTTCTGCGGGCACATGAATTTTTGTTTTTTCTTTACTTCTGAGCTCGTTTCCTCCTAATGGGCCGGCCCATGCGCTCCTCCTTCAGCGAATGCTCGACCGCCGCCCGCGCGCGGCAAATAGGAGCTCTCAAGTCTCTCAGCGCCAGGAAGAAAAAGGGCGCCCGCTCTTCCCCTTGGGTGGGCCGGCCTAGCTACTCGTTCCTAAAAAGAAAAGTCGTTCGCTCGTGGAGCTCCTTAAGAGTCGAGGGTTCGCATAGGAGTAGCACACGTGGGCCGACACATTTGGTTTTGCGAGATGAAAACTGCCAAAAAAGAAACATGCTCCCGCTGGGATCCAAATCCATCCACAAATAAGCACATTGGGAGAACATGGACGTTCTCAGAGTTTAGCGAATATGGACCGTCGGATCAGATTTTTGATGCACTCTAGACCGTTGGATGTCGCTCCTGGAAGACCTCGGCCGTCGGATGGAGATGATCTACTGCTACAATGAATAGTTACCGTTTTTCTCGTTTTTTCTCACGCTGGATTTAGTCATGTGTCTCGCTGATGGGTGGAGCCTCTCTCTGGTGGGCCTCGCCTATCGGTTGCCGTGGTTGGGAGGGTGTTACGTGTGCCCATCGGCGGCTCGAGCGGTGAAAATATCCCCTCCTACTGCCCGTGCCACCGCCTGATATTCCGTTGCCCCGCGGTGGATGTTTTCGATGTTTCATCTTTTGGGTCGCTGCGTGGTGGCCGTGGACTAGTCGTACTTCGATGAGGTGGGGCGTGGTGGCTTGCCTGGCTCCTCCTGCTCCCATTTGCCCCGTTCGCTCCCCCATCGCCACTCCCCCTCCCCTTCGCCGCCCGGTCCGGCCCGGCAGCCATGGACGGAGACGCCCGAAACCCGAGCCCTCCAAGGACGTGCGCCGGCTGCAGGCCATCTCCGGCGAGCTCATCCACGGGTCTCCGCCTATGATGCGTGCACATCGAGCCCGAGATCCTGCGCCACTGCTCCCGCTTCCTCCACCTCCGCGTCTTCCGGAGCCACGACACGCAGCCGACCAGGACGGGGTCGCGGGCGAGGGGGCTCAGCCTCGCCCCCCTCGATCTGGATGTCACCGTCGTCGTGGTTTGCCCCCTCCTCCTCTATCCAGCCGTGTGACTCAAGCTGGCAAGATCCGGCAATGGCGGCCAACTCTGCCTTCTCGAGCCCGACGAGAAGGGGTTGCGCGGCTATCCTTCTCGTGCGGCGATGGAAAAAGGAGGTGCATTGAGGTGGGTCGCCGCTAGCCTCAACCCTTCTCCTCACGTTGTAAGTGCATCTAGTGCCACCCCTAGTTGGTTTTGGAGTATTGACGACAAACTTGGTTGAGGGACTAATGTGTTTGTGAGAATTGCAGGATAACACAGGTAGTAGTCCCATATTGATTCGGTTTACCTACTAGAGATGACCCCTAAAAATGTGTGAAGACATTGAAGATAACAGTGGTATGTGAAGATATTCACAATGAAGATTATGACTCGAGAAGACATTTACATGAAGACTATGGAGTGCGAAGACATAGTTGTTTCGTAGTTTCTTTTTCTTCTTTGTTGAGTCATAGGAACCACCGCACTGTTAAGTGGGGTCCAAGTGAACAAAGTCAGAGTGACTGAAGTGATGCTCAACCAAATCCTATGTCTTCGAGTGAAGACAATGAGAGCAAATCTTATCCAGAGTCGGATGAGTCAGCTTTACTTGTAGCCCAAGTCAAGCTGTCGCGTGTGTTTGAAATCTGACTGTTGGACACGTGTCAGTTCCTTAGGAACCCAGGGTCATTTCAGACAAATCAGGTCGGGTTGCCTCCTGGCTATAAATAGCCCACCCACTACACCATAAATTGGTGGCTGCTCAGAGTTAGTGCACGACTTTTGTCATTTGAGAGCAACCCACCTTCAAAGCATTTGAGAGAGAGATCCTTGCGAGGACAAAGCCCAAAACACCCAGAGCCAAAGAGTGTTAGGCATCACTGAAGTCTTTCTGTTCGTGTGATCTGAAGACTTGTTACACTTGAGGACTGTGAATCCTCCAGCCGGTTAGGCGTTGCGTTCTAAGCATCCAAGAGTCATTGTGGATTGCCGGTGAACAAAGTATGTGAAGGTTTGGAAGTCTACCTTGAAGACTTACTAGAGTGATTGGGCGAGGACTAAGTGTCCTTAGCTCAAGGGGAATAAGGTGAAGACGCGGTCTTCTGAGTTAAATCTCAGCCTCCCTAACCAGATGTACAGTTGTCACAGCAACTGGAACTGGTCCAACAAATCCCTGTCCTCCCCAAGCAACTGGTTCTATCTCCTATCTCTCTTTACTTACAGTTTGTCTTCGTGAAGTCATTGCTTGCTTGCTTTATCTGATTGACTTCACTGCGTGAAGACTGTTGTTGTTTGGCTTCATACTATCTTCCATCCTGATCCATACTACCTAGCTGATAACAGTCTTCGAGCTTTCGCTTCATTGCTTGCTTGACTATGGCTTGTCTAGTGTAGTCTACCTTCCGCTGCATAACCAATAGGTTCATTTCTATTGTTTGTCTTCAAAGCCCCCGTGTTTTGAAGACTTCCATAAAAATCGCCTATCCCCCCCCATCTAGTCGATAACTAGCTCTTTCAATTGGTATCAGAGCTAGGTGCTCCCTTGTTCTGTGTGATTCAGTTTAACCACCTGGAGTTTTAGTTATGTCGACTGTAGGGATAATCAAAGTCTCCATTGCGTGCCATGTCTTCGATGGCACTGATTACCCCTACTAGAAGAATAAGATGCGTATGCATCTTAAAGCCATTGATGTCGACCTCTGGTATGTCGTCAAGAACGGCGTTCGAAAGGCCGGTGAAGGTGTCACCCCTGCTGATGTCAAGAGGTTCATTCAACTGGAATCAACTGCCAAGAACATCATTTGTGGTCATCTGACCAAAGGACAGTATGGTCATGTGAGTGCTCTGGAAACTGCGAAGCTAGTCTGGGACTAGCTCTCCAAGGTCAACGAAGGCATCTCAACCCAGAGAGACTCAAGGATCAGTGTTCTTCGCAACCTCTTCAACCGCTTCAAGAGAAATGACAATGAGAATGTCCAGCTCACATTTGATCGCCTCACTGATATCACAAATGAGCTTCATGCACTCGGCGCCACTGAGATCACCAAGCATGAAATCGTCAAGACACTCTTGAGATCACTTGACAGTTCATTCGACACCCTGGCCCTAATGATTCAAGAACGCCCCGACTTCAATACTCTCGATCCGTCTGACATACTTGAGAGGCTCAACACACACGAGTTTCAGCTATCTGAGAAAAGAGACATCTATGGTCCCTACTATGGTCGGACTCACGCTTTGAAGGCAAAGGCTGTTTCCTCATCTGAAGAAGAATCTGACTGCAGTTCTGGTGATCCTGAAGACATTGGAAAGGAGCTTGCTATGCTTGTGAAGAAGTTCCAGAAATTCACTAAGAAGAAAGGCTTAAAAAAGTCTTCACAATCCAGCTCAAGAAATGATAAAGCTTCTGCTCATGTCCATAAGAAGAGAACATGCCACAAGTGCAAGAAACCTGGTCACTATATCTCTGAGTGTCCACAATGGGACAATGAGAACAAGAAAAAGAAGAAGAGCAAGGAATATGTTTCTGATGGCAAGAAGAAGAATAAATCCTCAAAGTCTTCTTCCAAGTCCTCATTGAAGTCTTCATCACACAAGAAGAGCTCAGCAAGCAAGGCTCGTGCATTTGTTGGCAATGAGATGGATTCATAGGAGGAGTCTGCTTCTGAG